GGGGCTGGGGCCGTCCCCCGCTCCGGTCAGAGCTGAGGGCCCGCGGGGAGCCGTCTCTGTCCCGGCCGCGGGGCGGGCCACCGTGAGACGGGGCTTTGGCTCTCCCGTCCGCCCGCGGCGAGGGCGGGCCAGGGCCCTACGGCTGTGGTCACTCGGAAACGAATTGCGTGCCGCTGTCCTCGTTTTCTCCTGTGCGATGTGTCGTACACGTTAAAGGTTTTTATCTTCCAAGAGCTCTGCACACAATAAAGAATCATAGCTTGCCGAGGTGGAATTCACAGTAACTGCTAACTAACTCCTGTAAACTTTTGGAGTTCAGTGTGTGGTGTTTTAATGACGTCTTCATTTGTTTTGAGTGACAGACCTTTATTTGGGAGGTCTAGGTTTATTCTCTGACTTTGACAGCAAAGAGTTGGGGGGTGTTAATGTTGCGGTGTTCTTAATGCATAGCCAGAACAACTGATATTGCTCCTTTTTTTCCTCAGTAGACTGAAGTACTTGGAATTTTTTTTTATAAGAGGTGTTTGGAATATTTTGTTTCCCTTTTTCTGGTGTGATGGTGTTCAGATAAAACTGTTCACCAGGGAGCTCATGATGTGAGACTGGGAATAAGGGAGGGGTAAAGACGGGGAGGGAAAAGGAAGCACAAGTTGGTTGGTAAAGTGCAAAGAATTATAACTTCAGTGTTGAAATGCTTTTAACTTTTAAACAGGAAAATATAGTTGCTGTAGGTGAAACTTGAAGTTGGCGCTGACCTGTTGCATTCAACCTCGCTATTTGGCATAGGTCCCAGTGATGCATCTCCAGATGAAGGAGTAGTAGAAGATCTGCCTTTAATAGATGAGAAAGCTGTGGAGCAGCTAACTGAAGGATTGATTTCTCATTATCTGCCTGATCTTCAGCGATCAAAATCAGCACTACAGGAACTTACGTAAGCAAGTTTTTAAAACCAGCTTCTTATATATGCATACTTTGTTTGCCACTTTTTTTTTCAGTACAGTGTTCTAGCTGCCCTTAACTGGAATATAGTTTATTGTAGCATTTTTGTGTTCTGACTATAGCATCCTGAATAGTTAAGTGATTTGCGGGAGTATTGGGGGGTGTATAAGCTGCATTGTAGCCTATCAGAACTTTGACTAAAGAATGTATAACACTAGAACACTAAAACCCTCCAAGCCAAGTATAGCAGAAGACATGTAGATTTCTTAAATATTTGTTCACTTTTGTAGTGGAAAATCTGCTGAAAGCTGGATTTATTTTCCTTGCAGAGATGCAGTTTGTATTCAGGGCAGCCTGTAGTGCTGTATATTGTTTGTTGTCCAGTCTCTAAACTGTGTTGCAAAAGATACACTTGGAAAATGTAATTAAGGAGCTAAACAGATAAGAATTCTTTGTACGCTGGCATCTCACTGATAACTGAGAATAGTTTATTTCAGATGCAGACTGGATCTGCCATGGATGCAGATACTGGAAAGGGCTTTACACAGATCCATCTCGGGTTTTGCAGGGTACATTGGTTTGGGTTTCACAATGTGTGATGTGGTTATGCTGCATGCAAAGGACAGCTGCTGGCTGGAAAGACTTTAGCTGATTTGTGTGGGATGGAAACTCCTTAATAAGCACAAAAGATCCATGCAAGTTCTATACAGAAATAACTTAGTCCATCAGCATGACGCAGAGACAACTGAGTGGAAAGTCGAGCTGATTGTTTTTACCTTCATTTGACCCAGGAGTGTTTACTCACTGCAACCTGCAGAGTGCCTGTTCAGGGTTTTTGGATATTCATTGTGGATATCTTATCATGCTGTATGATGCCAGCTCAATTTGTGTGTACTCAGCTGGGATTTTTCAAAAGCCATTTACTTGTGTCTTTGTTGAAATCACCTAGCAATGCATAAAAGGAATCTGATATTGGGAAGCATGTATTTCTGTTGTTATGATTGAAAGTAGTATTTATTTAAAGGGCTGGTTTACTTTGGTTTTATGCATCTTTTTTTGTTTCAGACAGAACCAAGTGGTATTACTAGAAACATTAGAACAAGAAATTTCAAAATTCAAAGAGTGTAACTCCATTCTTGATATCAATGCTTTGGTAAGTACTATTAATGCTTTCTTAAATTTCTATTAGTGTAGATTTTCTTGCTGAAGCATTAGTAGGAACTTACAGATTTTCCTTATTCTTAATGACCTACAGGAAGAGAACCAACCAGTTCAGATATTCAGGACAAATTATTGCTGGAGAGGTTGCGGAACCAGCATATTTCCCTTAAATAGGAAGGGCACTGGGAAGAAAGAGCAGGCTCAGTCAGCTCGTGATAGTAAGTCTAGTTGTTCAAAACCAGTAGCCAAAGCAAATGTATGCCATTTTTCGGTAGGACTGAGACACCAACATGAGCTCCGTGCACCTCTCCAGACTAGCAGGAAGGGTACATGAAACGCTGCTATATGGTGCATTAAATGGTAATATTTTTATTCTGTTTAATGAATCTTAATTACTGGGTGCACCTGTTGAGATATGGTATTTTTCTATATTAATACATGTAATATGTAAACTTTATATATAAAACTTGAACATGCTTAATCTATTATCAAACTGTTCTTGTAATCACTGGTTTTGATTGCTGTTTTTGCTGTGCAGCTTTATAAAACAACTATTCCAACTCGACAGTCAGTGCTTTAACTGTTACGTGTTTTTAGTTTTCAGAAGCTAAACACTATCACAGCAAGTTAGTGAATATTAGAAATGAGATGATGGTGCTCCATGAGAAGACATCAAAGTTAAAAGTGAGTGGGATAAATATTTTTAATTTGCAACATAGAAGTCAAGAATACATAATTAAATATCTAACTTTTGTTTGCATGCATGCTGAAAGTTCGGATTAAAATAGAATCTTCAGTCCTTTTCTTAAATGGATGTTTTCAGTAGCAGCAAACCATGTATGTTTTTAAACTTTCACTTACTCCTACCTGTACTCAAGCAACTTATGTGTCTGAACTCCTAGTAAATCTCAGTGTCATCATGTTTAGGTGTTGTAGTAATCATGCTTTGTTCTGTCACTTAATCCACTCCATTCCAACTAGTTCTTTGTTGTTTTGGTTTCTGTTCCATTTTAATGAAAACTAGATTGTCATAAATGTAAGAATTTCTCCTATTTAATGTGATACCAAGTGGCATAAGTTCACCGACTTCATGCTATACAGGCAGTCTCTGGTTACATTCTGGCAGGAGTAGTCTTTCGGTATGTTCAACGAAAGGATTTTCTCTTGAAGGCAATAAATTGCACAGTACACACCTTGTCTGGTGTACACAAAAGATTACTTTTAGTGATACTGAAAGGAATCCGGTTTGTATTTTCCCTGTGTAGATCACAGACTTGCTGTTTCTGAACATGATGATGGAAGTGGGAGGGAAGAAGAAAAAACAAATAGTTAATGCAACATTCAGTCAGTCACAAGCAGAGTGGATTGGAGAAGAGAATGTTAACAGAATGGGAGGGATCTTGTTTGTAGGTCCAACTTAAATACAGCTGTACAACTTAGAATTATTTTAATGTCTTTTCTGTTTAGAAAAGAGCACTTAAGCTGCAACAAAAGAGGCAGAAGGAAGAACTAGAACGAGAACAGCAACGTGAGAAGGAGCTTGAAAGAGAGAAGCAATTAACAGCAAAACCTGCTAGGAGGACGTGAAAGCAGAGCATGCAACAACTTGTCCAAAGTAATAATTTCTGCATTCTCTGGAATTAAGGCAGATTTTGCTTAAGATGGGCTATAGCTGTTACTAGCAACAGTCTACTCTATGATACTATAAATTCCAGAATGGTAGTAACAGGGTTGGTAACATTCAAATGTTTTGATTTCAGCCATTCAAGTTGCCTTCTTTTGTAATGCTATGCAGTTTGATGTTATTATAATGTAAGTTAATTTTTTTAATATATGTATATAGGAGAATTTAGGCATCAGAGTTTTAAGTAACTATCCATTTTTTTCATCTGTTCTTGTGGTGTTTAGAACTCTGAGAGATATTTGATGACTGGCATACATGTTTTTCAGACAAAATACAGAATACTAGTTAAAGCTCAGTTCTCATTCCTGGATTTTGGTCGCTGCCTGTTTCACTGAAACTGCTTTGATTCAGGCAGTTGGGATCTCTTTTCCGATGCCCTGGTTCATAAATACTGACTTTTTGTGCAGCCTTAGTTTGTTGCATCTCAAATGAACTGAAGAAACTTCCAGGGCGTTTGCCGGAAAGCTCACTTTATTGCAGCAGTCTTACTTTTTTTTGTCATGAAGTAACCTAAGAACAGCTTTAAAGTAACTTCTGAATAATTTCCCAGCTGAATTGGTTGGGGTAGGGGGAAGCAGAACAGTGAAGATTCTCAAAATTGATATATGCACAATACAAAGATTAATTAATTCTTGTTTCCAGAAACATTTGATTTAAATCAGGGAACTGTTACCTCTGTAGTGGTTCAACAGGAAGACTGTGTGGTCTAAGCAGATTTCTGGGGGATTAGAAGCTGTAGTTTCTTCATTTTGTGTGACAAAATAAACACAACCAAAACTAAACAATTTCCACTTCATGTGAAATTCAGCTACCTTTAGGAAAAACTACTGCATTTAATTTTTTTCCTTAACAAATAATTCATTTGCACTTCAGGGTTATGTAAGAGAATTTTTGTTATGCTGTCCTTGCCCAATTTGATCATTAATAGTGTATACTGATGTTAAACATGGAATGGAGATTGATATCCTTTTCTCTGAATGTAATTGCTTTCTTGCAGCACTTGATGTGGACTGTCATTCAAACGAATGTACATATTGTCTAGACTGGTAAAAGAGCTTTAAAGTATTTGTTCGTACAGTCTAACAAGCTAGTTATTTTATATCTGTGTTATTTTTTAAGCAGTAATGTAAGTGCTGTGTTTTGAAGTAAGACAAAGGGCAAGCTATGTAAAGTTTTCCGTAAAATATGTATGGTAAGGCGTCAGAGGGGCACAGTCAATTTTACTTTTTATTCCATTTTAGATGGCAAACACAGTGTACACCTGCCTGGACTCTCCTGTGTTATAATTTTCTGAACTTCTAATTCCCTTTTCTTAATATTTGTCATCTTTTTGTGTGAAAGACATACTCTAACAAGGTATCATCCGACATGCAAGGTAAACTGGGATGATGTTTTGGGGCGGGGAGAACAAACTACTTGAAGCAGTCTGAAGAGACGCTGAAATGCTGGTACTGAAGCAGTAATCAATTAAAACTTTCCACAAGTATTTTTCCTTTAAGTTGAGTTGTGTCTGTTAATTGCCAGTGGATTGTTGACCTGTGCTGTGGTTTGTATGTATTTCTAAGAGAAATGTAAAGAATTTCCACAGCCCATTTTTGGAGCAGAATGTACATAACTAAATACTGTTTAAATATTTTATTTTCTAATGTAACTTCAAAATTAGATTCTGGGAGTTTAAACAGTTCATATTAAAGTATAAGATGAAATGATGCCTCAGTATCCAAATTGGGATTAAATTCCTGTGGTATTTCTTGATTTGTGTTCTCTCATCTATAATCCAGTTTGGTGTTTCTAGTTGTGGTCCCTTTTTCTGAAGAACTGTGGGGGTGGTTTTTTGTTTCCAAAATCATGGCTACTTTTACTGAAACTACACAATTCTAAGCATAGAAATTGACGCTTTTGCAATTGCATATCTCAGTGTTTCTTTGGAATAATTTCTGATCAAAGGTGTAACAGCTTGCAGTGCTTGCCTGAGGAATCCCATGCACATACGCAAAAATGTCATTGATAACGTCTCCCAGAAAATTGTAGTAAAATCTGAGGTTTGTATGAATAAGGAACCAATTTTAATAAATGAACTTTCTGTAATAAAGGGGAAAAATTAAAGTAACATACATAGGGGGAAGTTTGGTCAGTTTACATAACTTTTTTTAATTAATGAGCTCTTAAATTATATTAGTCAAAACTACAATTCATTATCTCCATAGGATATTGTTCTTCCGAATGCTCCTCTTGTCTCTTAATGCATAAAAAGTAAAAGCCACATTTTTACTGAATTAATTTAATGATAGTGGCATCTAAGCTTGTATGCTTGCATTAATATGCACAGCTAGAGTGAGCAATTCTGTTACTGTATGTAGTTAGTCTTGCTGTATTTTATAAAAAATGACTTACCAAGTAGATGAATGTGGTAGTGTTACACATTTTTCTTACTGACTTTTTATTCCATCTGCACGAAGAGGTGCAGCTAGCTGCATCATTTTTAGAAACAGATAAAATGGCAGCTTTAAAAACAGTCTTTCTTTGGTACTGTTTGTTTCATACTCGGTGCATTTAACTTGTTTTTAAAGTATCAAGTCATAGCAGCAGAACTAAGACACTTAACTGTGCAGTAACTTTGAATTTTTATTTTGTAAGATCCTATAAATTTAGGAATTACTGTTGATAACTAGGGCATCTTGGTTTCCCATGCTTTCATCTTTGCTATTGTTAACCTGGATGCTGAATTTGGGTTTCCCCACCTATAGCTTTACATGAGCCAATTTTTAATTTGTTGAAATCCGGCTTTTTCACTGATAGCAGTAGCTTTGCCGTGTTCATAAGACAAATATTTGTTTCTTCTTGAAAAATGGCTACAGAATCTTTTATCTGTTTTTATTCAAGTGTGCTGTGACCTAAGTGATAATAGCATAAATAATAATGTGAAGGTTGTTTCTGTAGCCGTTCTGTAGTGATTCTAGCATCTGAGAGAGTTCTCTGGCTGATTTATTCCTAATTGTGCTTGGGGAGATATTTTCTGCCACCTACTGCTTGCTTTGCAACACTGCTGGCTGTTTATTTTAGTTGTAAGCTTGACACTTTAATGCCTCACCTTGCAGGAGTTTTTTTTTTTTTTAAACCTCATTAAATCTAATTGGTTATTTGATCTTTGGATTAGTTGTGTGAATATAACTGCTAAAAACTTTTGCAGGGCTTTAACTTAGTGATGTAAATCTCTAAGAATACAAATTACAGCAGCATAAATATTAATCTGGCTATTCGTGCTAGGCAAAACAAGACAGTAGGCACCAAGTTTCTTAGTAAGGCAGTATGTGAAGGTAGCAAAGATAGTTTGATTTATTTATTCGTTTATTTATTTTTAAATCAAAGTGTAGCTTAAGTTTAAATAAACAGTTGGTTTTGGCACAAATATCACTGCTTTCCGGTAATTTGAAGTACACTTGTACTTACTTTACTTTTCTCAGTCCTCAGCAAAGGGATTTGTATAAAAACAGGCACCAAAACTGGACAGTTGCATTTCCACCACCACCATTGTGTGTCTTCAAACCAGTCCTTTGCGATACCAGTGCAGCCAAGAACTCTTATGATGTGACAAATTTAGCTTTCTCAAATATTCCCTGTGTAGGTGATCGAAGTAAAACTGCTGGGAAGAACAGCTCTGATACTGGGACCCGACAGTGTTACAACAGTGCTGATGTGGCGAATTTTCACTGTTTTCCTCCAGGCAATAACTGTTGGCAACCATGGATCTGGGAGGTTATGACTTGCTCGAGTCCGTAACCTAACTATTGTCCCTGAAGTGTTATGTAGCTTTAAAGCACAAATGTTGGCCGTACCTGATAACTCAGTATTTCCTTCTTGGTTTTGTTCCTATCTGTCCGTTTATCTCCATGGTGTCAAGCCATGGGCTTTCAGAAAGGAAACAGAACACCCTGCTTGGCGAATGGAAAAGGTGCAACAAATGTATTCAGCTTCTACAAAATTAATGAAGCAAATCATTGCAAGCTTCATAAAGAATAATTTCAAAATGTGTACACGTGCAAAGGCAATAGTCTCTAAAGCAGTAATTTACTGAAGTAATTAATTTTGCACTGTCAGTCACATTGAGATGTATGACAAAAGATAAGGCTGATCTATTTTGTTTCATGTGTTGCAATTAAAGTACATCCCAGCCCTGCTGTGAAAGTAAGACCATCTGTATACATACTGGTCAGCAGAACACTATACCTCTAAATTAGCAATATAGTTTATGACCTTCATGAGCTAGACTTTTCTCCTGTCACCATGTAAAGAGTAATATCCTGTGTGAATACAGCCTGCAAGAGTAATAACGGAACAGTTACTGTGGGCTCTTTGCCACCCCACTACCTGAAACCAATGTTTCAGCCCTTCAGCGCTCAACTGAAGTTGCTTGTTTTCCAGTCTTGAAAAGTGGGTAAGAAGTCATGTTGGTAAAGTCTGTATGAGAATGGATTTCTTACTCTGTTTTGCTTCTGCTTCTACTCTTTTTTGCTTTTACTACTGCTTCTTTTTTGTTAGCCTTTCAGATGCTATAATTTAGAGGCATGCCAGAAGAAGAGTATCTCCAAGAAAAAATATCAAAGATGATAAGAGGAAATTACTGCTTTTCACCCCGTGTTACTCAAATTCATTGAGATTGTGCTCACTGTCAGGTAGGCACTTTGCATGGAAGAATAATCCCCATCCTGGAGAACTCACAGTCTAAGCCTCAACAGACACGTAGATCGTGTCCTGTGGGGTGGTCAGTATAATTAACGGGCCAGGAGGTGCATGCTGCGGGCTTCCCAGGGAAGCCCAGTTGCCTGGTGAGCAGGGAGAGTTACCCACTGGGGTGCCAGTGGCCGGGAGGAGGCGTGCAACCAGGCGGAGCGTGCCCAGCCCTCGCACAGCAGCTTCCACCCTCTCACACCGCCTGGACTTTGCTGTTGTGGGAGGGTTGGGCAGTACTTGTGCAGCTGCGGGAGGGCTCTGCGCTACAGGTGAGTAGTTTCTTCGTGTTTGGTGTATGTGTTCTGTCTCTAAGTTAAGGTATTCGTATAAGTAATTTCTTTACTAAAATTACAGACCATCTCTGTAAGAAGTCTGTGTGGAAATATGTATGGGAGCTTAAAGAAGATCTTTTAATATTTAAAGAAAATCCTAAAAATACGTGTTTAAAAACAAAACAAAACATGTATTTTCTCATGGACAGAGATGAGGTTCAACAAAACAAAACATGGAACAAAAAATGTGAGAAAAGGCTGTATTCTGACTATGCCAGGGCAGCTGGGAATGGGAAGTCTGGAAGCTCTTAGAAATTAAAAAAAA